GGTCCCTTCCAACCCCTACGATTCTGTGATTCTTTGAAAATCCTTACAAAGTTTAATACTTTTTGCCAGCTAGAAACGCTTAAGAAAATACATATCTCTAATTGTTTTCCTGTGGAAAATGTGTGTAAGAGTGTCTTTAGAATTGTGTTCTGTGAAACAACATAAACTTGCATGGAAAAAAATGCATAAACACTGACAGAGGTGCTTTTGTTCTTGTAGTTGCTGATTGTTGCCACTTTTTGACCCCTTTGCGTTCAAATGACAGTACTTCACACCTATGCTGGACTTTGCATTTTGTTCCCTTATTTTTATTTCAGTCTGCCTAGCAGCATACATTGAAACACATTTTTATTCTTAAATACTGCTTTTTACACATGTTTTGTAGAAAGGAATACTGGTCTTTCATCTGGATGATGTGGGCGTACTTCTGAAAGAAACTCTAGAAATAGATTACATCCAAAAGCTTTACATCTGATGATTGAAAAAACAATATTGAAACGGTGCTATGATGTTTACTGAGGAATTGTAAGACTAATGAGATTTTAGAGCTGTAATTTGAACCTGCAGTTAATCTTTAGTTGCAAGATAGGCTTGAATTATTTTAGTGTCTGTGGTTGTCGGGTTGTGGATAGTTCTTGAGTGATTGAGGCATGCTGAATGGAGAGATGCAGGAATTTCTGTATGGAGGGAAAATAAAACTATTTTAGAGTGAAAAAATGAAGACATTGTGGCTTCTTGGAATGCCAGCAGACAAAAAAAAATTGTGAAGAGTTATATGGATTTTAACTGAGTAAGGAACTATCAAAATCGCGGAGTAACCACAGAAGATGTGTTGTAAAGCATTTCCAAATCAGTAGTATGAGGCTATCTGACAATGTGTAATAGTGTGAAGAAATAAGTGCTGTTATTTATAGAAAAAAGGATTGTCTTTTTTTTTTCCTCAAGGTTGTTGAGATTTTCAGTAGAAAAGTAGAGAAAATAATAGCAATTGGGAAGGCAATAAAGAGTTGTTTCATTGTGATCAAGGGATCTAGAGAATTTCTACTGTTGAAAATGAAAGACCTGATGCATAAAACTGCAAATCCACAAATTCCTGTCCCATGGGATCTTACAGCCATGTAAGCAGTTCTGCCCTTGTTATGTCCAGCCCCAGTCTACCACATACTCTGCATGGATGAAAGTGTTCTTTTGGTTTTGTTCACCTTTGAATGCAGTGTGTAAAATTCAGCTCTGTGGTGTCAGGAATGAAGCAACTTGGACAGGCTGAACAAATATGCTGACAGAAGTTCCATGAAGTTCAGCAGAGGAAAATGCCAGGCACTGTGTCTGGGTAGAAACAACACCGTGTACAAGTACAGTACACCACATGACCTTGCCATGGTCATGTACTACTTCTTAATGTAAAAGCTGGGAAGCACACTTGAAACGTTCCCTCTTTGCCTACTGAGGATATTTAAACTTTTCAGAGTCTGGAAAGTATTATTTATTCCATCCACCCCCCACTTCAGTTCTCTGTCTTAGCTATGCATTGTTGTATTAATGAAAACAAGCAAACTAGTGCTGTGTTTCAGTTGGTCCCAGAAATAAGCCTAAATGACCAATGAGTAGCATGTAGAATAAAACAAGTGATTTGTGCCAGGGTAAAATCAACTTGTAACTGTATGTTTTTTCAGACACTACAGCATTGAAATGTCACAAAATAATCAGTGGCACCCAGTATCATCATTTTAGTTAAATTCTTCTTTTTTTTTTCTGATGTTTATCTCTCTATTTGTCCAGAGGATTTGAGAAATGATCTCTGTACGTCGCTTGCAAAATCCCTTTGGCACAAAGAAATTTGTTCTTACCCAGGCTTTACAGCTTACTAGGTTAAAAATGATTTTTGATCCCTTAAACTAGATGTATCTTTGTGCTTGCTTTGCCTGCTGCACTGTCAGCTCCTAATTTCTATAGGGTTCTGCTGTAAGCATTTCTCTTGGCCTGTTCTGCAGTACTGTATATTCTCAAACAACAAAGCTGTATATTTAAAAGCAAAACCTGGGCACCTCATACTTGTATTTGATTTGAAATGACTTCATTGATGGTGTTTACATGTTTGCTCTGATATAGTATAGCATTGCCTGAGCTAAACTCAGTTGCCAGAAGTAGTTTTGCTACATTATGTGTGAGAGATGAGGCTGCGTTTGTTGAATCCTGTGCTATTTTGGTTAGACAGCTACTGTCAGGAGTTTTTATGTCAGTACTGCAATAAATCCTCCTCAGCTTTTTGTTGATACTCTGAAGAAGCAGGTGTTCAGTTTTTCCTTTTCCATCCCAGCAGATGTTCATATAGTGATATGTAAGTAATGGCTTTTTTTTTCCTTAAATGCTGCAGAAGTAGAAGAGTAGGAAGGTACAAGAAGTTCTTGCTAGAAGAAAACAGAAGCACCCCACCTTTAAAAAGGATAAGGATTTAGGAAAGTACAGGCTGGTCATTCTCATCTTGGTTTCAGACCTATGAAAGACAAGGAGGAGATCACGAGCATGGATTTCAGAAGGTGAAATTATGCTTCACCAATCTTAATGCCTTCTGAGGTAGAATGAGTAGCTCAATTGATGGAGGAGAGCAGTGGATGTTTATCTTGATTTTAGCAGGACTTCTGACTCCCTCTCAAGTAACAGTTTCATTGGTAAACTGATGAAGCATGGGCTAGGTGTATGGACAGTGAGGTGGTCTGAAGAGTGCTTCGCTCAGAGGGTTGAAGACCAGTTTAGAGGCCTGCTGTTAGTGGAGAGCCTCAGGGGTCAGTGTTGGATCCTGTATGGTTCGGTGTCTCCTTTAATAAGTTAAATGATGGGATGGAGTGCACACTTAAAAAATGGCGGATGCAAAACTGAGAGGAATTTGCCTCACCAGGGGTTGTGCAGACTTAATCAGAACAAATTGGACTGGCTGAACAAATGTGCTAACAGAAGTTCCATGAAGTTAACGGAGGGAAATGCCAGATACTGCATCTGGATAGGAGCAACCCTGTATGCAAGTACAGTCTGGGGGTTACAGCCGTGAAACAGACTTGCAGGAGGAGATCTTGGGGTCATGGTAGTCAACAGACTGAGAGCCACCATACCGCAGAATCAAGGAAAATCATTTGTCTCTTGGGTGTTATTAGGAAGAGCACTGCCTGCAGGTCAAGGGAGGATTCTTCCTCTTTGCTCACTTCTGTTGAAGGCCCATTTGGAGTGCTGGGCCCAGTTCTGTCTTAGAAGGAAAGGCTGAGAACTGGGATTGTTTAACGTAGAGTGGAGGTTTAGGTGTGTGCGTCCTACTGACAAATAAATAAGTACTGTATGAGGGGTGTAAAGAAGATTAAACCAGACACTTCTCAGTGATATCCAGTGATAAATCAGGAAGCAGTGGGCACAAACTGAAATCCAAGCAATTCTATTTAAACATAAGTAAACATTTTTTAATGCAATTTGAACACTGGATCAAGTTGCCCAGGAGGTTGTGGAGTTCCCCTTGGAAGTACAGAAAACCCAACAGGATAAGATGCTGAGCAGCCTGCTTAGTTAACTCTGTTTTAAGCAGGGGGATTGGACTAGCTGATCTTCAGAAGTCTCAACAATAGCGTGATTCTGTGATCTAAATTCTGGATGATGATGCAACATTCCCTTACGATATAGGAAAGGAGGGTTTCTTCATGCTGGCTCTTTAAATCTAAATTACATGACTTGTTAACTGTTTTTTTTTTGGTTTTGTCTGCTGTAAATCTAGCCCTTAATTGGTAAAATAATTTCTTCCCAAATTTGTAAATATTAAAAAAGAAAAAAAGTTGAATGGAGATAATTTTAAATGATGCTGTATTGCTTGCTTTGTTTTTCAGCCATTCTTATGTTGGCCCAGATTACAGCGTACAAAAAAACACTGGAAAAATTGCTCTAGAGCACATCGATGCTGTAAGTCCTCTCTGTTTATTGAGTTCTATAATATGTTGATGAATTCTGATTTAAAGCCAAACGCCTTATATGCAGACAATCTGTTCATTTTTTATTCGGTATTTGTTTTGTAACTGTTGAGAACTACTTGATTGAAATTGTGATTTTAAAATGGAACAAAATTAACTGAAAATGTATCTAATCAGGATTTAAACTGAAGCTGTAATGAATTGCCTAATTTGTTGCTTAATTCTGTGTATTTTCGTAAGTGCCTAAAGCAACCACTATAAGCAGATTTTAATAAAATTTTCTTATTTAGTTATTTTTCAGCTTAAACATTTTACAGGTCTTTTATCTGAACCGTAGAAATAGGTTTTAGTATCTATCTTAAACACAACAGCATTCATTTTAGTTTTGAATTCCGCGACATGACTCAGATGTTCAAAAATGAAGATGCAAGGCCCAAGTAAACTGAAGTGTTTTGTTGTTTTTTCTATCGGGGATCTCGTTTCATAAGAAATAATTTTCTTCAGATAAAGAATCTGCAGATCAGCTGCAATCAATTTTAGTCTTGCTTGTAGTTGCTTGAAGATGTTTTTACAAACATCCAAGATGAATCCAAACAACAAAATAAAGCCAAAACAAGAAAAAAAACTAGAACCACCCCACCAAAAACCCTCTAACAAAGGTCACCTTGCTATTGCAGAATATAAAATAAGGAAGAAGAAAGAAGTATTGGAAACCTGACAGCAATTAAACTTTTGTTACTTGGGACAGAAGACATTCTAATATTATCTGTTACTGTCTTTTGGACTTTTTTCTTGAGATGATGTCTAAAGGATGCCCTGTACATGCATATTATTCCTTCTAGCCATTCACATTTTGAAGTGATCCTAGTAAGCTTGTATCCTACTGTATGGGAACTGCTGAATCACAGCCTGAACCTCCGATTGATCACCTGAGGCGAGCAATGAGTCAGCCATGGGAGCACAGGTGAAGGCAATTCACCTGTGCTGCTGGAAGGGGTGGAGCCTGGCTCCACCTCTCCTAGACCCATTTAAGAGCTGACTACCAGCGGAGAAGGATCTCTTCTGTAGATCCCCTCCTCTGGAGTTTCACAAGTGAGCCCAGGATATGGGTAATTGTCCTGTCTTTTCTGCTTTAGTGTAATGACTTTGTAGCCAAGCTCTATGGTATACTGTAATATCTGTATATTTATTGATTGCACCTACAAATGAAATGACTGCTATGCCTTTTTTTCTCTTGACAGCTTTCTGTGAAATCATTCCCTCTTTGCATGCGCCAGTTGCACAAAGCCCTACGTGAGAACCATCACCTTCGTCATGGAGGCCGTATGCAATATGGACTTTTCTTAAAAGGAATTGGTCTGACTCTAGAACAGGCACTGGAATTTTGGAAGAAGGAATTTATCAAAGGAAAAGTGGACGCAGACAAGGTAATTCAACTAGTGAAAAAGACCTAATGTGAACGTGAGGGTGTAGTTAGTGTACATGTGTGCTGTAGGTTTGGGTATGTGCTTGTTAAAGTAGATAGTTGTACAAAAACACAGTTACGTATTCTAAAGCTTTGGTTGTTTTTTTTTTTTCTTTTTCATTATGATTTTATTCATTACGTTTTGGTAATTCTTGTGAAGCATGGAAAAATGCAGACTAGCCACAGAACCAGAGGCTTTTTTATGTAAGGTCTAGGAAATCTTATTTTACCACTCAAATCAGTGGGAAATTGCTGTTGTGAAACAAGTGCTGAGTGACTAAATTAGCTCACAGCGTAGGTAAGTGACATTACGGTCTGTAAGGAGAGGTTAGTCTTTTTGTTCATTAATAAAAATAAAATTAGTTGAACAACTGTGTGAGAGGTGAGCTTGCTGTAGCAAATTCACAGTCTAAAAAGAAACTTGCTCCTTGTTTTGCTCAGTCTAGTGTTTTAACCAGCTGAATCAAGCAGGTGCCCTGCTTTATCCATGTGGTTGGCCTGTGGTATATGTCATTAGGGCATACAGGCAGAGTTCAGGACCGTTCTCTTGGAGCAAAAGTTTCAGACCTTGCATCACTTTTGTTTGGACTATGTTATTTTACATTAATGTTATGAGATCTTAGCTTTCCAGAGTACTACGAAGGTTGGCAGATGATTTTCTTTTTTATTAGCTCAAGTTCCTATGCCTTGGCTATTTCAACAAAAAAAAATGTAGCTCTGGGTATAATGAATTACAGTATGCATCTTCTCTTCCAAGTCCCAGAAGATAGGAGAACTGATCTGCAAATCTTTTGAGAAGAGAGATGAAAACAGCATTTTAATAAAGACTTAGACCTGTGTAAATCTAATTCCTTTATTGATGCATGATTTAAGAGGAAGAATGTGTTTCATAAAAGCAGAAAAATCTGAAACGTAATTTTTTACAAAGATTCAAAAAGAGATTTCAATCTAGGTAGTAATTTTAATTTTGCAGTTGAATATCAATTAACTGCTGGCAGCATTGAGTCCCTTTTGGAACAGCTGGAGCTGGCTCTGACCTGATATGGGGTAGCGTTGGACTCTTCCCAGAAGCCACTCATGCAGTCCCCATGATGAAAGCCTTGCCACATAAACCCAATACAAATATGTACATTTATTATTTCTGATGAAAAAAATATTGCATGAATGTGTCCCATTCCACCCACATGCACGTTGATACCAGCTGTGTGCACATTTATGAAAACATGCATGCAGTTTGTATCATGTTTTCAGCTAAGTTTTATGACCCTGGGTTTTGCTGGCTGTGACTTTCACAGCAAAATGTTCAGTAATGCTTAAAGTCCCCCAGAAATGAAGATGAATGCTCTTCTAATTGTTACTTTTTTTCTTTTGGCATTTTTATTTTCTGACACTGGTGCAGTGTTTCCTTTCCTGTAGATTTGAGGTAATTACACTGTTTTGTCCCATCAGAGCATTGCAAAGGTAGATGATGATGGTACCTTGCTAAAGATTAGTGTTAATTACTGGGTGGTGTATTATGAAAAAGGAGTGTTTGGTTTGTTGCAAATGGTTATTATTTTAAAATTGTGTGTTCACATTGGTCTTGAATGGCAATAACGTTTAGGATGGTTTTCAGTCTTAAGATTAGTTCCCAATTTCAGTTTTCAGCAGGAAGGGAATCACCTTAGCCACATGAACAGTGTAGTGAAGTGAATATTACAGCCTAAGCACAGGTGCAAGGAGAATTTGCACCGAAGAGTAAGTCCTCCTGTGCTCTTAAATCAGTGAGGGGGGCATAGTCCAGATTTCAGTGATGAAAAACCACTTTAGAAAGCACATTCTTTTTCTCTTGAGAGGAAACTATGGTGCGTTATGAATACAAAGTTTCACACTTCATTTAATGCAAGAAGTCAAGCGGAACCTAGGAAGAACACCCCGAAACTGGTGGTGATCCTGTGGGGAAAGTGATCAAGTAGTGACATGTTCACTGCAGACAGAAGCAGAGCACAAAACAAAACGTGCTTTTGCTTGCAGCACTGAAATGAAAATGATTTTGCTAATTGCTAGGCTAAAATGCCTTAATGTTAAATTGTTGTTCAGATGATAGGATTGACTGTTAAATTGTGGTAGGTGTGACTGAACGGTTACACTGTTTGGCTTCAAAACCTCAGTGTTATTTTAAGGTATTTTTTGTTTTTTATCTATGAAATATGTGATATTACTCTAAGCAAACATTAGTCCCAATATATTTTTCTACATTCTTTTCTGGAGTAACCGTCCTCCCCAACCTGCCTTCCCTCTTCTCCCCCCCCCCAAAAAAAGTATATATCCAAATAGTCAATAATACTCAATATACTTTTAAAATAATTGAAACAAAGGACTAGTAAGGTGAACTAAGACATGTTAAATAGTTGCAACGAGGTAAAAAGGCAGGATAGTTGAAAACAAATTCCTTTTTTACAGTGGAAATTGTTACTTGGTTGCTGTTGTTTATATGATCTGTTTATATGAGTGTTCTGTGAATGTGAAGTCGGGGACTTGAAGGAACGTGAGTTTAGAGCAAAGAAAAGAATGAAACCTGCTGCTTTCAGTTCCTGTAGCTAATAGCTTGGCATCGAGGCTTAAGTTAAAATAAGGGATTCAGACTGGATGTAGTGAAGAGCTCAGCATGGAGGCACTGGAGCAGTTTCTTCAGAGATGTTGTGTGATCTCTGTACTAAGAAGTTTCAAAGACCCAACTGGACAAAGTGCTGAGCAGTCTGCTGCTGCTTGAAGCTGGAGGTTGGTCTGGAGGTCTTCTGAAGTTCTTTTTTAGTTCTGTGATTCTGCACATGCATCTGGTTATAGGTAGAATTAAATTGTTGTGGGAGCTAGCCACTAGAGGGAGACAAGATCATAAAGAATGAACAAATACAACCTGTAGATCTAAGTTCAAAGTGCTTATACTGTAATGCTTTGCAGGTTTGTATATTTACATTGTGAAAACAAACGATACTTTAGAATGAAAATAGCAATAGGTATCTGCTAATAAGCTGAGCAGTGCTTTTAATCATACAGAGCATTCTACAGTGGATTTTTCTAATGCACAAAATGGCATGGTGGTTCCTTAAAACAACCTCTACCTCCTTAAATCTCCTGGAATATACTGTCAGTCAGCTGATTGCATTTAATTTTGGTATTTTACTTTCTCATTTGTTTCAACTTTGGGAGTTGATTTACAGCAAGGTTTGCTTTACCTGTCCTTCTTCTATTGGGATAATAATGGTACCTACTATTTTTGGAGCATTTTTTGGTTCATGAGATTAAGGAAGATCTCTGTTCTGTCACAGTTATAATTCTCTAGTTGGATGAAACTTGCTGCTTTTGTTCTGGAGTTATTTAAATCTTAGAAAACTGCCAAAGCCTAGTGATACATTGGAAAAGAACCACAATATTTGACATCTAAGAAATAGAAATATGAATCTAACTGAAATTCCTTCATACAGATTAACATTTGAACTTTTATTTTTCATTGTACATCAGTAGTACTGTAATGCAAATAGATGGATAGGTGTGAATTCTCTGGAGATGTCTAAAGGTGACAGTAAAACTTTAAGGAAATGATTATTGTCTTTTAGGATTGCAAAACCAGAACAGATGTGTTCCATATATTACCTATAAAATATTATCCCCCTGAAGTTTGTGGAAAATAGTAGAGTAGTGCATTGTGGTAACGAACTATTGATATTATAGTTAAGCATCCTTGCTTTCATTGGTTATTGGAGGACTGGATAGTCAGGATCTTGAACAAATTGCATTTTTACATGAAACGCCCACAGATTTGGCTATTGGCTGCAGAAATTAGCTTCAGTAGAATCACTGACTGTATTCCTCTCATAGTTTGGAAATCATTTCATTCTCTAAGTGTAGTGAGAGAGAGCATTTTTACACCAAAATAAAGATTTTTTGGGTGAATGATTTTTATCTGTATTGGCAAAGATGACGTTGCTTAACACATATGTTGAATGACTGCTTTCACAGAATCATAGGGCAGCTGAGCGTAAAGAAGGCCAAAATACTTTCATGCTATGTTTTCAAATGCTTTTTATGTTCTATGAACGAAGATAGCTCTTCAAGCTGCTTTAACAGCAGGTTAAATGACTTAATAATCAAAAGAAACATGAAAATGTATTGCATCTTTTCTTTAAAAGCAAGTTTAAAGAAAACAAAGCATACTAGAGTTTTTTTAAAAGAGTATTTAATTTAAATTGCAACCTCAAAAGCTGAAGAGAAGGAACTCCAGATTTTGCTGTTCCTGAGTTCTATAATTTATGTTTCTTTATTATAGAACTTCAAGTCATTCCTCTGAAGAGCTAGGTCTGTGCAATGAGTATATTTTACAAAACAGAAGTGAATAAACCAAGATACCTGTTGTTAGTAGCTGAACAGCCATTGCAGCATTGATAGGTATCATGAGAAAAATGCCCAATCTGAATTCCCTAGTGGTGCTTCTTTCCAGAAATCAGCTTTGTGGCATTGAGTCCATCATCAAGAGATCTCCTTTCATATAGCTTGCTTTGGTATCTTTTATGTGTATTAAATAGAAGACTTGGTGTTCAGAGGTGCATTCTTCAAATGGTACTTCCTTGTTGGGGAAGGTGATAGTTACGGGCTGCTGAGGTTAATTAGCTGAAGGAGTCTAAGCTGAAAAATTCAGGATGGTCTGGTGTTTTTATAATAAACAATTAGCACTAGAGGTATTGTGAGTGAATTTGTTTTATAGTCAAAACTTATGCAGCTAGACATGAGAATTAAAACTTGAAACCACGAGTGGATGGATTACTGTTGTTGTGTCTGAATCAAGCTGAATTAGTACAACTTTCCTGTTTGTGGTAGCTTGAAAAGGATTGTTTTTTTTTTCTCTCTGATAATTTCCTAACAAGAAACAGTGAGAAGTTTCACACAAAAAATTGAAAATCGTGATAACTGAATCCAGGGCATTCT